ACTCTGGAATAGCCTTCCTGATAATGTTCGGGGTTCAGACACACTCTCTCTGTTTAAATGTCAGTGCTGGTGCTGTGCTCTCTCCTGTCTGTGGGGACGATGAGGACGGCACACTGTCAGACCTGCCGCAGACTCACTGACAGCTTCACCAAGGTCTGTGCCACTGCTGCCTTTAAACAAGACAGCATCAGATATATTCACCATACAACATATGACTTTGTAACTCACTTCAGAGTGAAATAGGGTCTTCAATGAGCTTCAATTAATATGAAAAAAAAAGTAAATGACAATAAATTTAAAAAAGATAAATATCAGCACACTGAAAGTTACAGACAGTTTATTTACCAAAAACCAGTGCAGTGTTTCAGTCAGTCAGGTCTTCATCAGGCACAGTCCTCATCCTCACGAAGACCTGACAGCTCCAAATATTGCACTGATTTTCTAAATAAACCTTCTGAGCTGCAATTAATAATTTTTTTAATCTACTGTATGTAATTTATAATGAATGTGCAGACATTCAGAAAAGACAACTTTTCTGTTAGTTTTGTTTAAACACATTATTTTATATGCACAAAGCATAACAAAACATAGAAATAAACAACAATATCCAACAAATATTTTAATATAACATTTTAATATAAAAATCTTACAAATAACAGAAAACCATCACATTTGCGGTTCCTAAGACAGAGAAGAATTGTGAAACTATTGTAATCATCAAAATCACAGTCTGGTTCAGTTTCACTAGTGAAATCTTTGCAGATATATTGTGAATGTTTGGCCGGCCTGCTTGAGCACCAGTGTGTAATAATCTATGCATCATTCTCTAAACCCAGTGTGAAGGTCTTACATGTTGACAGGAACGTTGTTCAGTTCAGTTCGTTGATGGTGCTTCTTTCATTAGGGTTTGGAGCGAACAGCCAATAAGAACTTTGGAGGAGGGAACACAGCTTGGGAAGAGGAGAAGCTGGCGAAATATGCACGCAGGTAAACATTAGGGTGGCCCTTATTGGGGGGTACTTTTTTTAATTGGACATGATAACCTCTCACCCCCTCATTTCTTTCTCCATTAGAAGCGTGTAGTGTATGCAAAATACCATCCAGATTATTTGTCATTTAGGGTATGCTCAAAGAATGTATCTTTTTAATGAACAGGTACTTCAAGATCTGATTGGTGATATTAGCAAAGGTTTTGTTCACTGATAAACTTTTGACTGTTTCGATATCAGATGACTCTCTAACCATTAGGCCACAACTGCCCCTTTGTTTCTGCCACTGCTCCGGGTGTGTGTTCACGGTGTGTGTGTGTGTGTGTGTGTTCACTACTCACTGCTCTGTGTGTTTGTGCACTTGGATGGGTTAAATGCAGAGCACAAATTCTACATAATTAAAAAAGAGAGACTGATCAAACAGGTTCTGTTGAGAGTGTAAGTACATTAAGGACAGAAGTACAGAACACATTATTATCTGTTCTCTGAGTAAACTTACCTGCGTGTCATTGATGTGGGAATTGTTGGTTGACATGCGAGATGTTGTATGTATGAGAATGTGTTGTGTGTGAGGTTACAGACAGCAGGAAGCTCCAGACCTGTTCGACTGGCTGTGCATTGAGGAGCTCAGACTCTGCTGCCCATCTGGACACTACGGGCCTGAATGTGCAGGTGATCACACACACACACGCACGCATGCGCCGCACACACACACACCAGCTGTACGACACGAAGCCTACTGTGGAGCAGCGTTTAGCTAATGTGCTTGACACACTACTGATCTAGTAACGGATAATGTTGGTTGAAGCTTGTCAAAGTGGACAGGACAGTCAGATTTGGTTGTGAAGTCGTAGCTGAGATTTGAGATTTTGCACATTCTAAAACCAAATGAAAATCATATTTATTACTAATACCATGTAATTTTATTCACTGATCTCTGGTCAAACATCGTTTTGTAATATTGGCCCCCAAGCTAGGTAATTTGAGTATCTCTGCCTTACAGCTACTCAAATAATGTCATATTTGCTCAGATACACCAAATCGGCTGATCAGCTCTTCCATATTTTCCACAGAAGCAGTGGATTGGTTATGTTGACTCTTATAGGGATAGTTCACCCAAAAATGTACTCGCCCTCAGTCCATCCAAGATGTAGGTGACTATTTTGTCTTTAGTAGAACAGTAATGAGGATTTTTAGCTGAAACTGTGGTTCTTGGTGATTCATAAAATACAAGACAGTGGGTACTGGCATTTTGAGAGTCTAAAAAAGCACATCAGGCAACACAAAATTAACTCCTGATGATATATTGAGGTCTTATGAAGAAACGGAACATTATTTTCAACATTATTACCTGTAATCCAGAGCCTCAAACAAACTGGGAAATCTGATTCTTTTATACGAACTGGTTCTTTCTGATAGTTTGTTTCAAATGAACTGGTTCATTTCACTAGTTAGTTTACATTATCACACAATGATATCACGGATACGCAATTATATTATTAAAGCACCCAGTAATGATGTGACACATGCATGTTTTACATGTCTAAAGCATATAACGTGAATAAACTTGTCTTAATCAACTCA